AGAATAGTTTGGAGATTTTCCCCTCATGAGCCTATTACCGATTACAGGTTGAAAACTGTGAGTTTCGGTGTTGCCTCAAGCCCATATCTTGCCCTCCGGACAGTGTTGCAGTTATGTAATGATGAAAGGAAACGATTTCCCAATGCCGCTCATATTCTGGAAACGTGTCTATATGTTGATGACCTTTTATTTGGATGTAACTCCTTCAACGAAGCTTTATCTTTACAACGAGAATTAATTGAATTGTTAGCAGCAGGTGGTTTTCTCCTGCGTAAGTGGGGAAGTAACGATCAAAAGCTTCTAGCTGGTCTTCCAAAAGAGCTTCTCCAGGATGAATCGCTCTCTTGTGATTTTGAAAATAGTCATGTCATAAAGGTTCTTGGCCTGAAATGGCACCCTTTCTCCGATTCTTTCTCCTACGATGTTAAACCTCTCAATCGCACTTGCACAAAGCGGGTTATACTCTCTGAACTCGCTAGAATATACGATCCTATCGGATTTCTATCCCCGCTGACATTTTACGCAAAATTACTTATACAAAATCTCTGGTCTCTTGGTTTAACCTGGGATGACCGCCCTCCTATCGAGTTGTTGAAAATCTGGGAGCGATATGTAAATGAGTTGTCTCTATTATCGTCTTTTCAGCTTCCCAGACGTATTCTGTCAAAAGCTGAAGGTACCTACGACCTGCATGGGTTTTGTGATGCCTCAGAGCGAGGTTATGCGGCAATAGTGTATCTCAGATTTTGTCCCTCCAGTTCCGACCCGCCTCAAGTATTCATGATTTGTGCTAAGTCCAAAGTAGCTCCCCTCAAACGAATTTCACTGCCCCGATTAGAGTTGTGCTCAGCAGTTTTATTATCGAAACTTGTGGCTTTCACCCTTGAAACGTACGAAGGTAAAATAACTATTAGTGAGATCCATGCATGGTCCGATTCGACTACAGCGCTGACGTGGATTAAAAATTCACCCCACAAATATAAAACTTTCATAAGCAATAGAAGTTCGTATATTCAGGAGAGAATTTCCCCTTCCCACTGGCATCATGTTCCTTCAAAGTATAATGCAGCGGATTGTGCTAGTCGTGGCTTATTTCCTTCGGAACTGCTTGAACATCCTCTTTGGTGGTCCGGTCCAGAGTTTCTCATTTTATCAGCTGATTGTTGGCCTGTTTTACCAGTTCCAACTTCGATTCCCCAGGCTGAGGCAGAAGAACGTAGATTAGTGTTGATTTCTGTAGTAACATTAGAAGCATTGGACCACTTGCTCGAAAAATTTTCTTCTTTGGCAAAAATTAAAAGGATTGTGGCATATATGCTACGCTTTATTCATAACACACGTTTTCCACAAAATAAAAAAAACGGCTTCTTGAATCAATTTGAAACTCACGAAGCGCTCTTGCTCTTAGTAAAACGAACTCAAGAATCATGCTTTCTTGATGACATTTCACGGCTCGATAAAAAGCAACCCGTCTCCAAACCGCTCAGGAAATTGTGTCCTTTTGTAGATACCGCGGGTATTCTCAGGGTCGGCGGTAGATTACGCTTTTCTCAACTCTCATATGATAAAAAACATCCCGCCTTACTTCCCAGAGTGAGTCGGTTAACTCATCTCATCATTGAAGAGACTCATAATTTAAATATGCATCCTGGTATTCACACACTACATTTTTTGATATTGCAAAATTTCTGGATTCTATCGGCCAAAAGAGCAATAGGCAGAATAGTTCACAGGTGCATGAAATGTTTTCGGTTGAATCCTGCGCAGATTCAACCAGCCATGGGAGATTTGCCGGCTTGCAGAATTTCGCAGGTGAAGGCATTCTCAATAGTAGGGGTGGATTATGCTGGTCCCTTAACTATCAAACTCGGCAAGACACGCAAATCGTCAACATCTAAAGCATATATTTGCCTTTTCGTATGTTTTGTTACAAAGGCTTTACATGTTGAACTCGCATCAGACTTGTCTACTGAAGCCTTTCTCGCGTCATTTAGGCGATTCATAGCGCGTCGTGGGCGATGCAGCCAGCTCTACAGCGACTGCGGTACAAATTTTATTGGCGCTCATCGATACTTTGTGGAAATCATGCAGAATGTTGCAAAATCGGAATCAATTGCCTGGAAGCACCATCCTCCTAGTGGGGCACATTTCAACGGTTTGATCGAGGCTGGGGTGAAATCTTTGAAGACTCATCTACGACGGGTAATTGGTGATCAGATTTTGAATTATGAAGAGCTATACACAGTATTGGTGCAAGTGGAGGCATTACTAAATTCGCGTCCTCTATCTGCATTCAGCAGTGATCCGCAAGATTTTTCAGTTTTGACCCCGGGACATTTTCTGACTCTGGAGCCATTGACCTGCGTTCCAGACCCTGATTTGAAAAATCTAAAGATCAATACTTTATCGAGGTGGCAGTTGTTGGTTCGCCTGCATCAAGACTTTTGGTCTCGTTGGCATCAGGAGTATCTCCACACTCTCCAGCAGAGGTCCAAATGGACCGACCCATCCAAAATAATTCTACCTGATACTCTGGTCTTAATTAAAAATGAGAATATTCCTCCCCTACACTGGCCTCTAGGTCGGATTGTGGAAACACATCCTGGCAAAGACGGCATTGTACGGGTAGTCACGGTTCGCACAAAAAATGGACTCATGAAGAGACCGGTAGTTAAACTTTCGCCTCTTCCCATATCAGAAGTCCACATTTAAAAATATTTTTAAAGGTCGGCGGTATGTCGCGGCTTCGTCGACTTTTATGTATTGTGTTTGTCCAATTTAGGTAAATAATTTATTTTGTTATTAATCAAACCAAGCCACTGATATACAACAATTCAAAATTCTCATATCCCTTCCCGATTAACTTGGTAAAGCTTCGTATCTTCGGACATCATTGACGGTGTCACCCGAGGACGCGAAAAAAGACACTCTCCGCTCAGCGCGTGTGAACACACCTCGTATAGTAAACGCTCTCGGTCTCGGTAATATACCAAATCCCAAATTTCAAACCATCTAAAATATAATCGCTCGACAGTGTTCACGCGGACAATAAAATAACGGTGCTACCTATCAGTTTACCCCAGAACCCAGGATCCAGACTATACGAGCCAGGAAAACCAGGACATCGCAGAAAAGCCGGCAATCTGGAATCAGGTAGGAAGTGGCACCAAGTTTTTTTATAACTCCCTAAATACAGTCCATTTTCTATATCTTTTAACACAGATCTTTCACTAGATGTGAGTTATATACTTCTGGTTCGCCAACTGGTTGCCCAAAAATCTTCTGTTTTTGCGGTCCAATTAGGGCTTCGCGAGACCAAGAGTCCAGTCTTGGTCTTGTCTTGGTCTTGATACAAGTCCAAGACCAAGACTTAATAAATCTTCCCAAGACCAAGACTTGACTTCCGAGACCAAGACCAAGAGTCTTGGTCTTCGTCTCGAAAGAAAAATAATGAACTTGAATCTACACAATTTTTAAAAAAATCTGAAGGAAATGTAATGACATTTTATTATACAGTCCCATTCTGGTGAGGCCTCTACTGGCGCATGGCCAGTCATGAGTCCCGTATCAGTTTCTATCTGCACTCTGGTCAAGTTGAGCAGGTCTTAAGTTCGTTTATGACTTGGTTCCTTAATGTATTGTTTCCCATGTCTGTTTCTTGGGATGTTTTCTCTGAATCCAGTCTTTAACTGACACTCGTGCTATATGTTTTGGTACTCCAAGAGCCTGTCCTGGATCTGGCTTGTTGTCCGACCCTCTTCTTGCAAGTTCGTCAGCCTTCTCATTGCCAGCGATCCCCTGATGATCTGGCACCCAGATTAGCTTGACGTAGTTCTGGTCTGCCAAAGTTCTCACTTTCCTCTTGCAATCCCATACCAGTCGAGATGTCGATCACTGCCTGGCTTTCTAATGCCTTCAATAACGCTTGACTGTCTGACATGAAAATGGTCCGTCCATACAATCAATTTTTGTTTAGAACTGGTCCAACAGATAAGCAATTATTTTTTTGTGGACACTGTTTTCCCTTGTGCTGAATTAGTCCAGTAGTCGATGTGTTTGATTATAAACATTGGCCAACATCTCATTATATTTTTAAAATTCTCAAAAAGTGCCCACTCCATTATCTATGTACTGGTTGCCCAAAAATCTTCTGTCTTTTGCAGTCCAATGCCTCGCATTTGTACAGTATATGTGATACTGTTTCTGGTTCCTTCCCGGATAGTCTGCAGCTTGGATCGCCATTATACAGTCCCATTCTGGTGAGGTGCTCCTTTATCCCGTATCAGTTTTCATATGTACTCTGGTCGAGTTGAGCAGGTCTAAAGTTCGTTTATGACTTGGTTCCTTAATGTATTGTTCTCCATGTCTGTTTCTTGGGATGTTTTGCCTGAATTCAGTCTTTAACTGACATTCGTGCTATATGTTTTGGTACTCCAAGAGCCTGGATTTGGCTCGTTGTCCGACTCTCTTCTTGCAAGTTCGTCAGTCTCCTCATTGCCAGCGATCCCCTGATGTCCTGGCACCCAGATTAGCTTGACGCAGTTCTGGTCTGCCAAAGTTCTCAGTTTCCTCTTGCAATCCCATACCAGTCGAGATGTCACTTCCTGGCTTTCTATTGCCTTCAATACCGCTTGACTGTATGGCATAATGCGGATCTGCTGATTTTTCACGGCTCTCCTTTCGTACACTTCTGCTTGAAAAACTGAGACATACTTCCCCAATTAGTAGCTGAGGCTAATCTCCGGATGTTTGGAGTATACTCTTGCTCCTGACCCATTTGCAGTCTTGGACACGTCTGTATACCAGATCTTTCCCTGCAGTATGGTGTTGAGTTCTCCATCATTCCATTCAGATCTGTCTGGTATGGACACTCTGAATGAAGTGTCAAATATAAAAACAATAACACCTTAGGATACAGTTATTCCTTATCAATATCTCATTTACTGGGTACCTGCTCATAAATTCTCATTAAGACTTATGGAGTAGGTATGTTCTTTTAGAGTTGGAGGTGGCACAACATGGCATTCATCGGGGCTAGTGGGAGTGTTCAAACCAAGTTTGGCTCAAGTGAAACTCACGAAATCGAGCGTGGAATTATACGAGGAGCTCGAGAAAAAAGGTCTGCCTACAGGTTGGAAACAATGCGGAAGTTTGAATGTTGCTAGGACCAGAGATCGGATGACCCTTTTCAGGAGAATGAAGGCACAAGCTGAGTAAGTTTTTCTCAGGTTCTGCAGAAATTCACCTTCTGTAGAAAACACATTATAAGTAGGCATAGATAGAGTAAATCAAACTAAAATCCAACTGAGTATACCTACTTAGAATAAAATATTATGAATAGGTACCAATAGTTAATTGGACCTTATCAAATTAGGGAGCCCCTATTATCAGAATTTTTAGTTCTTATTTTGTTTTTAAAACCAACAGCAAGTAAATGGGATAAGGCCATAGTTTGTAAACCACAGTTTACAGGATTTTAAGTGGCCTAGGTATGGCTGTTGGAGTCCAAATTGGATGTTATTCAATATTTAATTTCAAGAATGAAAAGTCAGCAGCTAGTTTCAGCTGCCATGTAAGACATTTGTCACACATAAAAACTTTGTTTGCATTTTTTCCAGATTCATCTTATTAAAAAAAAAAAATGATCAAATTTTTCACGATTCCAAACAAAAGAAGAAATAACTGGTTGTCGAATAGTTCCATCATGCAAGTCAATTTTTCCAATGACATGTCAAGCCAATCAAATGATTTACTCATATCACTCAGATATAGGAAAAAAGTATTTTTTCCATGATTGCAATAATTTTTCAACTACTACAGGCCATGACTAAAGCTAATGAAATTTGCAAATTCTTTCAGTTCATCTTTATATTTGTCATCAACAATCATTGAAGCATTGAACAAGAATGTGATTGTGAATCGCAGGTAACATTGGGATTTGAACCTGAGACCTGCAAGCTAAATGATACATAATATCCCCCTAGTAACTAACTTCAGAGCACTACTGGAGATGACGTCACATTTTCAGCAATGAATGGCAAATGTTAGAATTTCAAATGATGATTTTTGAGACATAACTGATTATTAAAAACTGCTTCGGCTCTCTGTTTGAAATCTCAAGTGTTCAAAATCTTCCTTCTCAATCTTAATGTTTTTTCAAATGGTAGTATTTCAAGGTATATGTGCAGCTCGAGGTGGTCCAATGGGGAAGTTTTCTATATTGAGGTTTTTATTACATAGTGAAGTTTGTAAAAAATAATATATACGTATTTTTTCCTTTTTTCGTAAGATCAAATTTCACTTTTCACTAAATAAAAGAGGAACTTGGCTCCTCCACCATTTCTTGAGTTACTTTATGAAAATCCACATTCATACAGAGTTAAAATACGATTCCCTGTGCCAGTACTACGTTGCCGACATCATCAATATATCTAGATTTCCGGAAATTGTTCTTTGTAATAATTATATCATAACAGCGATGGGGTATAATAGGTTCTTCAATTCTACTTTGTCAAGTATTATGAATAATTCCCATAAATCTCTCATTGGCTGAGTGCAGATGATTACTAATAAGGATAAATTATGATATTTTGCGATAGTATCTATAATTTTTCACTATATATACACTATATATATTTATATTACAATATGTTATTCATTACTTGTCAGTAATTTTTTTGCTAATGAATTCGTTCCTTGATATAACGGATCCATTTTCTAGGAAAGTTCAGATTATATCCTGCAATATCGCCTAATACTTCGAGGTGGTGTGGACGGAACACCACTCAAATACTGACAGACACAACAAGAGGAAGGAGCCATGGGTGTCGGCTTCATTCTGTTCTGATCGATGGTAGTGAATTAGGAAGGATAGTATCATTGAATGTAGCCGATAGTGATTCATTGATCAATGATAATTTCGTTTAGGATTGAGCTCTTTTCGAGATATTTCAATGCATAAATAACAAAACCATAACCTGTCAGAATGAAGCCAACTACCCTCTGCATTCCTGCTCCGATTGCATTTGTGGTTATCAATGTTTTTGTTTACCAGTTTTACTTCTTCTTCTATTAATTAGATTAATAATTAATTATTTTATTCGTGTTTCATTCGTTAGCTATTTGTTAACTATTCGTTAGCTATTTGCTAGCAATATTATTCACCATCAGCTATATTCAGACTAGATTCAGAAAGTACGTCACATTTTGGCGCCCAAAAAATTAGAAATTGCTTTATTTTGGAAATGAAAACGACTTGGACTTTATCGGTCGCCAATCTGTACAGCATGGACATAAAACTGCAGAGTTCGGAACTCATTTTATGAAAATTCTTTTGAAGGAAACTTCCCCATTGACTTTGGATGAACATAACCCTGTTTTTTTTATTTGGGTTTTTTAAAATGATTTATGAATATTCAGGTCTTGGCAAATAGAATGTGAAGTGCTGACACCTGAACAGTGCAAAGAAAAATGCTCATTATTAAATGTTTCTGATTTGATGGGTGGAATTTGGATTCCTGGAGATGGAGTTGGCGATCCATATGAGACATGTTTATCTGTGGTATCAGAAGCCAAGAAATTGGGTAAATTTACAATCTCTCAAAAAAAAATAGTATGTTTCATTACGATTCTGGAAATAGGAATTTTTCCGTACGCGTGTGACAAATTCTGTTTTCTTTTTAGATTCCATAAATTCTTCGTATATGCCAATTCATACTTTTTTCTTGAAATTTCCGAAAACAAATTCAACTTTCGCAGCTTCTTCCATTATCTCTGTCTCTGGCGGTGTATTTATCATAATCGTCACATCTCCGTATATACATCATATTATTTATTATGAATTGTTGGAATAATATTTGATGGAAAATGCGATTTCTATCAAAAGCAATAATGAGAACGACCCTAAAGAATTTAAAAAACTTCTTCTGACAGTTGTGACAACTATTCAAAGCTGAACAGCAGCCAAGTTTGGTCGATTTTTGTTAATTCTCCATGGAAATGTATGTGGTGTTGGCAAAGTGCTGTGAGAAAAAATATTTCTCACAGTATGAGCAATACATGGTTTTGAAACTAGGTTAGCTATGAGAAATGCGCTACGTTTCATAGCAGTAGTAGAATAGTTATTTAACCAACTAGTGTATTAATGAGGACGATTAATGATCGAGATATTTTAACGTGCGAGCGAAGCGAGTGCGTTAATGTTCGAGATCATTAATCGCCTTTTAATATACAAGTTGGTTACAAAATTTTTTCGTCGACTATATTTCTCATTTCTCGTACAATGAAGAAAACTTGGTTCGCGAATTCATCATCCATCCGGAAACTGCTAAGAATCACCCAGTAGCCTTGTTACTGACATTAGTGTCATTTGTCATTTGTCGAAATGATCAACATAGGAAATAAATTCCTTGTATTAGAAAACAGGAATTAAAATCGTGTCAGAAACTTGGAAAGGCGAACCCAATAACGGAAAATCGTCGATGAAATCCATATTTTCGATTTAAATGCAGATTCCGCTAGTTATAGCATCAACAATGAATGCACGCGGTGTATGTTTGGTTGCCTATAAAACAATCGTGCATTAATAGACAAATCGTCCATTAATAGGGGTCCTTAATGAACGATTTCATATACATTAAACTTAGTCGTTAATACGAGGTCGACGGAAAAAATGATTTTTCCGTGCTTGCATGACTCGATGAAAATTTGTCACACGCGCACTCGTAATCCAATTTGCAGAATGCCTAGATTCTGAGTACAAGTTCGCACATTATGACCATGTTTTAGGGGTTAGAATAATAGAAAATTGTACAGTGAAAAAAGTCAACCAGTCGAACAGTAGAGTGACTGGTGTTGAAACTGATTTGGGATTCATCAACTGTGAATATTTCGTGAATTGTGCTGGTTTCTGGGCAAGAGGCGTCGGCCAGTTATCAGAACCCTATGTAAAAGTACCTCTACATGCAGTGGAACACTACTATTTGCACACGAAACCAATTCCTGGTCTGGATCCCATGTTACCAGGTAATATGATATGATAATCACCCAAAGTGTGAAACCCAAATTGTTGGTTGAATTTTCGAATAACATTATACTCTCATGTCAATCTTCATCAATCTGAAGATTATATTGATTTTTTCCCAGTGGCAATCAGGCTAATTGACATAATCAATAATAGTAACTGAGGAATCTTCATCAAATGATGGATTATTCAGAATCACCAATCCACGCATTGTACAGTCCAAATTGGACACTTTTGAAAGTCCGATTCTCGAACCAGATGGAAGGAAACTGATGCCTGTGTCTGAGGGTCGATACTCATGAAAAACTGAATGGTGAAATCTGCACATCGATATCTGTCTTCGTTTCGGAGTTACAAGGTGTTTTTCGAAAATGGGCATTTTTGAAAAGTGGCTACAGATATATTTTTTGGCAGAAACTGTCTGTTCTTATGAAAATAACTGCAAAATATTGAGTTTGTGATACAAATTATTCTCGAGGCACTAAAATCGGCCTTCCTATATCTAGTTCGAGAATATAACATGTTCTTCTTGAAAGAACAGTTCTATTTTGCAAGTAGGTATAAGGTGACTGATTTCAGTGCCTGAGGATCAATTTTCATGTCAATCTCAATACCTTGGAAAAGTTTTCATGAAAACGAAGAATTTTTGCCAAAAAATGGAGTTTTAGCCACTTTTCACAAATTCACATTTTCGAAAAACACCTTGTAACCCTGAAATAAAGATATACAGGGTGCCCCATAAACATACTGACAAATTTTAAGGGATGGTAGAGGACATCAATATAAACATTTTTGCTCGATAAACATAAGTCCGGAATTACAAAACAAAAAATGATTAAAAGTCATTAATAATAATTAATGATTAGTAAAAAAAAGTTATTGGAAGTTTTATTAGTATTTCAATGTTTCAATAAACGCATTATTGGTACAATGTAAGGTATAATTTTGAAGCATTTATTTTTTTTTTCATAGATGTAAGAGATATGGTTTCTTTTTTCTTCAAAACGAAGGTAGATACGGAAAAATTTCAAGGGACAAAAAAGTTTCATTTTTAGTTGTTCATTTGAAAAAAATTATCATAATTACAAGAAATCTACTGGGCGATATTTTTTTGTGCAAAAACTATCCGATATAGCCGTGGGCACGCCCCTGAAATTATTGGGCAAATTCTAATAGCTCCAAAAGATACCTTATAAATGTATCAATAATCTGTGAAAATTTCATTAAATTCGACTGAATCGTTTTTACGATATTAATAAAAAATCGATTTTTAAAAAAAAATTTAACACCCTGTATCTCGAAAACGAAGAGTTTCCGAACTTATGTTTTTCGAGCAAAAATGTTTATTTTTTTTTTTTTTTTTTTTTTTTTTATCGCTTGGAGCGCACGAGAGGGAATCCCTATAATGTTCAAAGAACATCGTGCGTTCCTAGGGAGGATAGGGATAGGAGGTAGGTATTGGAATTCTTTTTGAACTTCTGGAGATTATATGTTGTTGGGAACACTTCCACAGGCAATGAATTCCAGAGCCTAGCCGTTCTATGGATGAAGGAGTTTTGATAAAGTGCTGTTCGGCATCTTTCGAGGTTGACAACGAAGGGATGTGCTGACTGGGCTTGTCTAGTTCGTCTGACTGGTATTGCTAGTGAAGGGATGATAGCAGAGATTTCCGAAGAACATTTCCCGTGGAAGTATCGATAGAAAAGTGAAAGGTCGCCGACCTTTCTACGGTGTTCCAATGATGTCAAAGAGTGAGTGAGTGTGGCGTCACCCACCAAGCGGATGGCTCTTCTCTGGATGGAATCTAAGAGCATCAGCGTATGTTTCGGTGCTGAACCCCATATTTTGATGTTCTCTACCATCCCTTGAAGTTTGTCGGTATGTTTATGGGACACCCTGTATATATCGGTATACGGTTTTCACCTTTGAGTTGGTCATGTGAATTGATCAACAGTGCCCAATTTGGCACATCCTGTACATGACTTTGATGTAAATCTCTGTTGAATTTTGCAATTTGGTGTATATGTGAAAGGTTTAACTTAAAAATCCCTGATAGTACCTTTTGAAATTTGATCCCACATATTTGAATTCAGAAAAAAGTTTCAAAGAAACAAAGGTATATGTACACATTGCTGGGCTTCATTGACTTATGGAAATGAAGTATGGATCATATCATTTGATTTTTTTCTGCCACCCTGTAACTTGTTAATATGAAGAAAAAGTAAGGACAGGTTCGAAAAAATCGTATAAAATTATTCCAGAAAAGTTTCTGAATGACCAAAATATGTTGAGAATTACTAGGATGAGGGGGGGTGACACATTTAGGTGGGAAAAAAATATTTTGGACAATTATTGTTTCAAAAGTAGTATTAAAAGAAAAACGGGTGAAACACTACAACTAATAGTTTTTTATTACTCTTTGAGAAACCAGTTGATCATAATCAAATATATATACTTCTTCAGTTATTTTCACGTGTCCAGTCAAGGTCAGCAACCAGTAATGCATAAACTGTAACCAACCACTGTACTCCAAAATACTCTACAGGATCTAAAAGCGAAACGGAAATTGAACTAACAATTTTGGTTTAACATAAATGTGACTTGCTGTATGAGGTTCCGTTTTAGATCAAAAAGTTATTCATCTGATATATAGATATTTTGAATTAAATTGTGGTAAAGTTGAAGATAGAAGATATACCAACCGTGTTGAAACTTAACCTTCAACATTTTCTTGTAGAATATCAAATATTAGAGTATATCCTAAAAATGAATTATGAACAAATCAATGACATAGTGAGGTTTTTGAATTACTGAAATTAACAATTTGTAATAAATAACAACCAAATTGATTTTGAAACTGTTTGTGTGCATTAATTTCTTTAATCAGTGTATATTAGAGTTCCTGTATGTACTTGACACTACTGTTTTGACGTTTTTTTGTATATTATTCGCGAGATTCACGAAGTGGGCGACATCTAGGTTACATAATACGAACTTCAAACTGGGGGAAAACAAACTGTTGTCTATGGATAAAGTGCATAGACTACATTGCATTCAGCTTGCTGTAGCTGTAGTCAAACTTGTCAATGACATAAAGTGTTGGCACTGTTGGTAGTGATGATGGTTGAGTTAGTTAATTTTTTTACATCATTACATTTTTATTAGTTTAGTGAACAGTGAACAGGTAAAGAATTGGAGATAGTTTAAACAATTCAAACTAATTATGACGAGCAAATCAATTGACATATAAAAGAAAAGCTACAACATGTTTACAATACCCAGATTGTCCTGCTTTGCATGAACAAATACAAATCCATTGTTCTACAGGAGTTCCTCTGGACCCCAACTTCAATTTTACTTCATGTGTGGAAGATTTCATCGCCGAAGTTTGTAGACAAAGTGCAAAAATGTGCCTTTTGTTGATGTCTTCTGCCTCACACAATCATATGATTAGCACGAAGAACTGCTTCTCCTTCCACTACTGGTCGGCTTTTTCCGTCTAAATAGATCAAAATATCTGCCGAAAGAACATCTACCAACAGGCATTATTAGCGTTTTCAACCGAATGTTGACAATTGATGTCAAAAAATTTAAAAACATCACTCTTATCAGTACACAGTACACAAGCTAATGGCACTAACACTAAGGGAATTGAGTGAGGATTAAGTTTGTTTTCCCCCAGTTTTGACGTAGCTTTGACATGGAACGATGAAAACCGAGCGCCACCTGGTGACATTGATTTCCGCGAATACAAAATATTATACAAAAAACGTCAAAACAGCTGTGTCAAGTATGTTTAGGAACTCTAGTGTATATCAACTCAAGGTGATGTATTAGGTAGACAAAGATGAGTATTTTAGACTTTGATCAACATAAACAGTGCCTCATATAATAATCACTCATTGAAGTCAGAATCACTGGTACAAGGTGTACACTGTACATGATTGTTTTGGTTGTAGTTGTGAGAGATCAAGACGGGTACATTTATTTCAGAGAAAATAAGGGTAGGCTATTAGCAGGAGGATTTGAACCAGTTGCCAAACCTGCTTTTGAAGATGGTAAAATACCAGGTGAGTGAAAAAAATCATGGAAATTCTGGCATTCAACAATAGGTATTTGTAATTATGTTCATGTTTCTGTATGGTGAAACAATCAGTAAACATTTTGACATAACTTTCATGATGGTCTGTTTCAATCTTTTCAAGAGAAAAAATTAGCTCATCTTGTTAATTATGAGTTTTGTGATTCATTCGATTTTAATTTCTGTCTGGCAATTATCAGGCATTGATGATATTGATACAATAGCAGATATGTTTGTTATTTGCAAAAGTAATTATTGCTTTTATTGGTTGTTGAAAATGTAACACTTTTGGTGCTTATCGGTGAATCACGTCGACGAGAGCTAGCTGATTTTTATAACTGTAACAAAGGGTTCTGCAAATAATCAGTTTTTCCATCAAATATCTTTTATACTCGAAAAGATCAATATAAAATTGGTATTTTTTTTTATTTTAGCAAACAGTAAAGACCGCGAATTACCAGAAGACTGGGATCACTTTCATGTATTGCTGGAACAACTTTTGCACAGAGTGCCAAGCTTAGGATCTGCCGTACTCGACAAACTGTGTAATGGACCGGAAGCTTTCAGTCCTGATTGTAAATGGATAGTAGGTGAAGCACCAGAGGTAAGTTTGGTGTTACTATATGATGTGTTAATATTTTAGGGGTTGGTCTTTGAGGCCAATTCAAGAAAAAGAAATCGCTCTGACCATCTATCCTGAACGTCTCGATTTTCTGACATTATGTGTGGATATGCAAAAGGTCCAATTTTCAATGCTCTGGCGCCCAAATCAGGGTGAATTTGGAAATGCTACCAGATCAATGACAACCAGTTTCTTGTGGCTCAAACTGGATGATATGAATGTGGTTTTGAGCGATGTCATATTCCACACATGATGTCATGTATACGCCTTTCAAATAAATCAAATAATTCGTTAATATCTCACACAATTCGTTCAATTCAGTTTTAAAATCAACCCATCCTGAATGGAAAACCCGTTAGTTATCAATAATTAGTCAATTATCAACTGGATAGTAGGAGAGCCGACCGTTATTTCAGATATTCAGTCTCGAATAGATGACAATGTCAAATGCGGCATTCTGTCTCTGGATCTGTGTAAGGCCTTTGACACTGTAAATCATAATATTTTATTGACTAAATTATCATTAATAAGTGTCAGAGGCAAAATTCATGATTGGTTTCAAAATTATCTGGAGAATAGGAAACAGTTTGTTGATGTGAATAATACTTGTAGTTCCTTGATGAATATTACATGTGGTGTACCGCAAGGGTCAGTTTTGGGGCCAATTTTATTTTTAATTTATATTAACTCAATATCTACTTTAGAATTGAAACGAAAACTAAAATTATTTGCTGATGATACAACAATAATCTATACTTCAAAAGATTTTAACGATATCAATAATGATATTAAAAATGATTTGAAACAAATATCATCTTGGCTAACGACCAATAAGTTGACTCTTAATTATAGTAAATCTACGTATATGTACATCTCAAAAAGAACAACGGATATATTGAATAATACCCCAATATGTTTCAATAACAAATCCATTGATTATACAAATGTAACGAAATTTTTAGGTCTTTATATAGATGAACAATTATCGTGGACTCTACATATAGATCAATTGAGGAAAAAATTGAATCCTATTGCTGGTATTATGTATAAAATTCGAAATTTCATTCCTGTTAGATACCTAAATAGTATTTATTTCTGTCTTTTTTATTCAAATATACCATATCTTATATCTATTTGGGAATGTTCAAATATTTCACGTTTGAAGCCACTCATGAAATTACAAAATAAAACAATAATGTGCATTTTCAATTTACCTTTTTTAGAATCAACTGCGAATCTATACAAACCTAAAGACTTGCTGAATCTAGTTTCGTTATATAAACTCTAAATTTGTTGTTTTATTCATTGTGTCAGGAATGAATTGAAAATATCGAATTTGAATTTTAATGAAGTTAATACGATTCACGCCCATGAAACAAGGCAATTCAATTTATTGATAGCAAATAATTATAAGTCAAATTTTGGTAAAAATTAATATACCATGATGGAATAATTTTATATAACTCCTTACCTAATGAGTTGAAAAATATAGAAGAAGCAGAAAAATTTAAAATCAAATTAAAGAAATATCTGCTCAGTAAACTTTAATTCCATATCTACTAATAGTACTAATCATTCACAATTTGATTACTTGTAATGGATTATAATATTTTCATTTTATATTTTATTATAATTTTTTTTATGAAAAACAATAATTGTGCAATTATTATTGTTTCGATTTATTATGTTCTATGTATGTTTTGTTGTATTGTTGAGGTAATAAAGACATCAATCAATCAAATTCCGACCGTCATCTGATGTCGTTTGAAAAAATACAATGTTTTCACATGTCATTAGGACATATACACGTCTGACGTCATTTTCCTGTAGGGAAACCGTGTGAATGAATACGCATATAGATTCAAGGGTATTCAACGAAGAGAGGTAAAAGCGTCGTTGCCACTCCTACTCGGGTATGGCAAACGATTATCCGGCCGCGATTTTACTAAATATACTGTACGCTAGCACATACCACGCCCACCGTTATATCTCATCTTCGAAGTACTTTACTTAGGCAAAACTCAGAGACTATTTATCCTCAACGAACTAACCTATCCCTGATTGCAATACTTTTGAGGAAGGAAAACCGAATGGAGTGTAGAAACACATTGATTAATAATATATTTCAAAAGTTGAGTTCTTCAACAAAATTGAATTTATTGAGACTGTTTATCCTAAACGCACTAACCTATTTGACTTCAAATATTTTATGAAAAAGGAAAACCAGAATGAAGAAAAAAAACATTGGTAAAAAAAAAAGTTGCAAAAAAAGGTTCAAGTTCACAGCGATTCGAACCATGGACCTTCAGACTGAAAGTCGACAGCGCTAACAAGTAGACTATTTGGGTGTATGAATTTACTGCGTAACAAGAGATTGACAACGAGAGAGCTTCAGTCGAATTCGTGTCAAAATCATAAAAAGTGTATTCTTGCGTTGGAGCACAGTATATTTAGTGCGATGTGGTATATCGGTAATGTTTGGAGATATGACGTATTATGATGGGCGTGGTTTGTGCTAGCGTGCAGTATATTTAGTAAAATCGCTATCCGGCCGGGCCGAAAAATGAACTCGCTCGAATGAACGTTTAGCGCGATACGAAGCATTGTCAACTTCGCTTTTTGGACGGTTTCGCCTATCAGAACATTATTCTTGTCACACGTGTTTGTTATTTCGTTACCAGATGGCGGTGGAAATTGGCAACCGGCTCTTGGCAGAATTTCCTACAAATTCCATTTCGTCTCGATTAGGTTAAGAATTATTTGGTAGCAGCAGGCATGAAGACTGTAGGGATAGCAGCAGCTGGTGGAGTAGGAAAAGCTACCGCCGAACTGATTGTGAATGGGGAGACCGAATTCGATATGTACGAATTGGAGGTATCGAGGTTCTTGGGGCTGCACAATAACCGTAAATTTCTGAGAGATCGTGTCAAGGAAGTGCCCGGGCTGCACTATGGACTGATTTATCCTTTTCACGAATTTCAAACTGGTGAGAAAATCAATTATTTGTTAGTCACAGCGAGTAGCACACAAATTGGTCAACAGCTTCTTTTGATCATTGACAATTTATATTTGCAAATTCGAAATTCAATCACTGTATTGAACTTTGTATGTTTTTCAATCTAATACCTCAGCTTACCCACTTGGAGCTGTGCTAATATACCTTAAACCTCATACCATCTTGTGTATGACATTAAATCTTCCAAAATGTTTGATGATAAAAAACTTGAAACCCTCTTCGAGATATTTTCATAACAGACTATGAAATACACTACACTGTTTTATCACTAACCAAACTGATTTTTCAAACGCTTAGATACGTTTTTAGCCAACTATGTTAGAATCTTCAGGAGGAGATTTAAACTAAATATCCTATTCTAGTGTGCTCCTTATATACTAGGTATATGTCCACCCAACCATGTAAGACACTAATCGCAAAGTTGAGGTTTGTCATGGTTGAGTCCAAATGTTAACCTCAATATCATATTACTATGCTATACAGAGGACTATATGGAATAGGTTCATTATTCTTATTCATTACGCTATTACTATTCAAGGCTTTCATATGCATCTACTTTCCTAACATTATTAAATTGCTTGACTAATTTGAGGTTATTAATATGTGTGTTATGATTGTGATGAAACATGTGTTCTGCTACACCCGATTTATCTAACCTACCATATTTCAAATGTGGTAGGTGTTCTTTGAACCTTGTTTTTGTGGCACGCCTGGTTTGGCCTATATATGTGTTATCACAATTATCGCAACTAATTTCGTATATTTCTGACTTTTTAAATGTGTCCACTTCATCTTCGAGATTGCCTAATGAATTGGCCTAATCTTGACTCAGACTGATAAACGCTTTCAATACCTATGTCTTTGAAAACTTCACTAAGTCCATGCGTACTCATGGTATTGAACGGGATTGGCATTCTTCTCGAATTGTTTTTATCCTTTTGAAAAGTTGTAGAATTCTGAAGTGAACATTTGAATTTATGTCGTATTAATTTATCTACTATTTTGATACCAGAACCATTGACGCCAGCCACTTTATAAACAACACTTCTTTCAATATCGAATCTCTTTCCTCAGAGAGAATGAAACTAGTCTATGTACTAGAAAATTTCGAGTTGAAAACAGTGATTGGAGTCATTAGTTATGTATCTAAGTCTTTTCTAAAAACATCATCAATTCCTATGTTTCCTATGAAGTTCATGTATTGAAATTCAACATTCCATTGTATAGGTAGAAATTTGAGGATGTCTCCAGTTTATCCCAAATTGAGAGAAGCGGGAGCTGTATTTGGACAAGTGATGGGATACGAGAGACCTACTTGGTTCGATCCAGAACACATGGAAGGTGAGATCTGCCTTCAAATTCTGACATTCAAGGGGGAAATCTCATAAAACAAAATATAGGACAAAAATCTTTTACCTAAACCTTACACCTTGATAGAAGTTATAGGTATCAAATTCAAAAGGTACAGAATTATTGTGTGCGGTTCATATATGGGTTACGTAAATATGATCACATATCTCAAAAACTAAATGAACTTAACTGGCTCACTATGGAAAATCGTTGGAGACTTCACTTAGCTTTATTCATCTATAAGCTTCTTAGGAGTCAATCAGATGATAGTCGCTACCAGTTAATTCCGAGATCCAGCATACATTCAGTTAATATAAGACATCCCAATGCATTAACGATGCCTCATCATTCGACCGCCATGCATCAAAGAAGTTTCACATATAATGCAATTAAATTGTGCAATTCAATTCCAGACCACATTGAAAGCCTTGGTCCATTCTCCTTCCGAAAGTTCATTAAACAGGAGCTACTTTCTTCACAATGAGTATTGTTATGCTCTTCGATATGAATATTATGTACACATTCTCCTTTTTTTTTTTCTTTCAGTAATGTAGACTGACCATTTGGACAGTGAGAGGTTAGATGTAAGAGTAGCCTTAGGCTAAATCTCGCCTCTTGCTGTACAGTGAACAATGTTTTTCTTCTTTGTACAAATCTTCATATTTTTTTTGTATTATGGAATCACATAAATAAAGACGATTTATTATTATCATTATTATCATTATTATTATTATTATCAATATCAGCAGAAAGCTGTTTTTCAACTCAACCCCATAATGAAATAGGTAGTTGTATAAATCTATCAATCTTTAACAGAAGTAACTATACTAACTGAACGTTCATCTGGCTCCATAAAAAATGTATGACAATTCGAGAAATTTTCGCATTTTCGTCCATTAGTTTTCTAGAACACGGTGGTTTATATTTACAGAACAAGATTCTCAGGACTGGTCAACACCTTATAGAATGGCATACACAAATACATATGGAAAACCACCCTGGTTTGATTTTGTGGCTAGAGAGTATGCTGCTTGCAGAGAAGGGGTCGGGATAAGTGATTATTCGTCATTTACAAAAATTGATTTGTGGGTAAGAACAATGATGGTATTATTATTTGGTAGAAGTCCATAGTTTCTCAAAGAGGACTACAGTAGTAATTATTAAATAATACTCGAAATCATCTCCACGACATTTCAATAGGATCAAACGATCAAATCAATTGGTAGATGTTTCAAACATCATCATAAATTTTGAGAAACTGGATTTTAATTCTTCAACTTCACCACCCAGTATCTCGGAAACGGGCAATTTCGGACTGTGGAAAGTTCTTTGAATTGGCTCAGTATGCCCTCAGGAATATGGGCTGAGATTTGTTACAGACCTTTCATAGGCACCCTGTATGTCGTGGAATTGTCTCAATAAATACAAATCGTGCTCACAATACTATCGAAAATTCTAATAGAAATCAACGAGATCCAATCCAAAGCAATGGGGAAGTTTCCTTCAGATGAATTTTCATGAAATAAGTTCGGAACTCTCCAGTTTTATGTCCACGTTGTACAGAATTGCGACCGATAAAGTCAAAGTCGTTTTAATTTTGAAATTAAAGCAATTTCTAATTTTCGGGGCGGCAATCTGTGACGTACATTCTGAAACTAGTCTGAAAATAGCTGATGCTGAAGAATTTAGCTAGCGAATAGCTAACGAATGAAAAACGAATGACAAAAATAGAAGAAGAAGTAAAACTGGTAAACAAACACATATACATAACCACAAATGCACTCGGAGCAGGAATGCATAAGTTAGTTGGCTTCATTCTGACAGGTTATGGTTTTGTTATTTATGCATTGAAATATCTCGAATAGAGCTCGATCCTTAACGAAAATATCATTGAATCAATGAATCACTGTCGGTTACATTCAATGATACTATCCTTTCTTACTTCCTGCCATCGCTCAGAACAGAATGAAGCCGACACCAATGGCTCCTTGTTCTTGTTGTGCCTGTCAGTATTTTTAGTGATGTGGATGGACTCGAAGTATTAGGCGCTGTTGCAAGACATAATCTGCATATTTCTTAGGAAATAGATCCGTTTTATTGAGGAACGAATTCATTAGCAAAAAAATGACTGACAAGTTATGAATAACATTTTGTCTTATAACGATAGTGAGAAATTATAGATACTATCGCAAAATATCATAATTTATCTTCAGTACTTTCAGTAGTAATCAACTTCATTCAACCAATGAGAGATGTATTGGAATAATTATTCACAATACTTGACAAAGTAGGATTGAAGAACCTATTATATCCCATTGCTGATATAGTCATTAAGGATTCAAAGAACAATTTCCGGAAAACTAGACATATCGATGATGTCGGCAACGTCGTACTGGCACAGGGAATCGTATTTTAGCTCTGTGTGAATGTGGATTTTCAGAAAATACGTCATAGGAATGGTGGAGGAGCCATGTTCCTCTTTCATTTATTTTTTTCTGAAGTAAAATTTGATCTTACGAAAAAAAGAAAAAAAACGTATATATTAATTTTTTACAAACTTCACGGTGAGATGAAAGCCTTAATATAGGAAACTTTTCCATTGGGTCGAGGAGTACTGTCGATAGTATTGCAAGCACTCATAGTATTACCCCCTGATAATTGATTCATTGTCTCACTTTATTTTTAGTCGAAAGGTAATGAAGTGGTGGAAGCACTGCAATTTGTTTGTTCGAATGATGTGGATGTGCCCGTGGGAAGTATAATCCATACAGGAATGCAAAACAAACATGGAGGTTACGAAAATGATTGTTCTTTGGCTAGACTTTCGGAAAATCAGTAAGTCTATTATGTTGTTTTTTATTATTCGTGACTTTGTTTTACGGATTTTAATTGAATTAATAGTGAAATATCTAGTAGGCCCTGTTTCTTTTTGTGTGACGTAAGTGAGGATTTTCATGTGCCCATATGATGATTTATCAAAATAGTTATGCCATTATGCGTGAACTGAGCTTCATATTATCTTCTTGATGCACTTCTGCAAGTGATCAAGTATGAATTTGATATTTCTTCAATATTCCTAATGTTGACCCTCGTGAAGGTTTTACTGCTACGCATTCTTGGGTCTGGAAATCTTCTATGATATTAAAAGTTGCAGAATTCGAATTTTCGTCTTGTTCAGCATTTGATAATTGAAGTGGCATCTTGAGTGCAATCAACAAATACCACGTCACATTGGCATGACATTAAAACAGCTCCTACTTCATAACAAATTTATTATTAGTCACGACTAATCATATCTATCTAGAAATCTATATTTCAAATTATCAAAAAATCAGAACTAATTTTTTCTGTCAATTTAATCCAGTTGAAAGTTAAGAGTTATCAGCCAGGGCAAAATTGAAAATTCATTCCAACGATTTTGTTCCATATTATTTCATTGAATCGGTCAATGTTCCGTGCAAATTGAAGAGCAGTTCTTATGACATGTTGTCTGATCTTTATGAATCTGATGAAATGTAGCGAGAAATGTGATCACAAAGTGAATTTTTTTGACATCAGAAGGAAATGAAATACGATAGGAAAAATTTTAAAAGAGGTTCTTGAATGGTCCATTTTGAGCATAATTTTGAAATTTAAAAAATACAATTCTCAATACAATATCCTTCTCGAATGAAACAGTTTGGGTATCTTTATTAATGAACTTCGAAACTTGGGAGCTGGAAGTCGTAGGCAAATCAAAGTCCATAATATGAGAAACATCTTCCTTAGGACCCAAGTAATGAACGTCCACAGATGCATCCTGAAAATAAATTACTAGCTAGTTTTCTCATTTTAAAGAGGTGCAAACATACTCTTTTACCCATGAGTTTTCTTATTAACCTAACCTGGTATGTCTAAATAATCAGTTGCCAGGAAATGCTCCCCACAAAGCTTGCTGCTTTTAGATGGAGCCCAATTCTCTCTACGAACTGCCTCAATCCATAATTCAAGAATGTCTGGTCTTTTGAATGGAAAACTGCAACAAATAATATTACTTAATATGTTTATGGATAAGTTGAAGTATTCAACTTTGACAAATAATATAGGTATAGTTTTTGAACATATTCTGAGACTGGAAACATTGTATACCTAACTGATGATCATTTCAAGAACTATATTTTCCAAAAATCTGAACAATATTCAACTTTCCCATGGAATGACAATTTCCTTTTGTCTTTCTCGTTCTTACATCCAAAGGCGACACAATAAATCACCATTGTTTATCAATATGAAATCACAAACCTTCTCAACAATCAGTTCACAGTGTTCACACCAACAAATTCAGTCCTTTTGATAAAACAAAATGCCAAATGAATAGATATTTCACATAACCAAAGATAATGAACTTATGTCTTCACTTTCTTGCCTGTTCAGATGAGAGAAAAAATCTAAAGTACTTTAATTATTAGATAAAAGAAAACGTGAACACCAATCCACCATTAAACAACACGAGTAGGAAAGAGACAGGTTACCGTAAAACAAGCTATCTTTGTTGCAGCTGCCCCTGACACACTTTGTTCTATTCGAGAGAACGGCCGTCTCCCTTCCAGGTATTTATATTGAGTTAATTGTTCCAGCTACATGATGATCGCCCCGACGATCCAGCAGACCAGATGCAAGGTGTGGCTGCAGAAGCACCTGCCGCCCACAGTTGCCCTTTCTGACGTCACCAGCACGTTCACGGCCCTCTGCGTGATGGGGCCCTTCACCAGGACGCTGCTCTCCGAACTCACTGATACGGATCTTAATCCGAGAAATTTCCCCTTTTTCACGTTCAAGATGCTCGATATCGGGCTGGCTAATGGTATCAGAACGATGAATCTGACGCATACTGGCGAGTTGGGATATGTTTTGTATATTCCCAATGAGGTAAAATCAGCTTTTTTTATTTTGACATGTAATTTGATACTTTTTCCATCTGGCGGAAGTTTTGAAACGTCCTACGAATTCAACTGGTCAGTACTGTCAGTAAATCCACTGAATCTGCTGAAAATCTGTGTTCCGAAATATATCTGAAAGAATGTCAAAGTTATCACACGAATTTGAAATGTGGTGTACCACAAGGCTCGATCCTGGGCCCCACTCTCTTCTTAATATGCATAAATTCTACAGCAAACTTATACTATATGCGGATGATACCACGATTGCATATTTTGGTGAAACTAATAGCACAGTTATGGAGAATATCAAACGAGATTTATCACAGCTGACAAAATAGCTACTCTGCCACAAACTTACATTGAAAATTAAGGAATCTTTCATGTGGACAAAGGATAAGGATGAAATATCTTGTCAAAGTGTTTCACTTTAATATAAAAATGAAATTAAGTTCTTGGGACTGATAATTGATACAAAACTATCCTGGCAAGCACATCTAGAACATATTAGAAAAAAAATTGTTGGGCCAGTGGGTATTCTGAGAAGATTAAGCTACTCTGTCCCAAGTTACATTCTGAGATCTGCGTATTTTTTCCTAATATATTCACATTTGCAAAATCTGACAATAATTTGGAGTAATACATATAAGATTTATAGTTATTTAAAATTAATCAATTAGAAACTTATTTAACCTGCCATCAAGATATTCAACTTTGAATCTATATGAACATCACAATATTAGATCGCTGGGAAGTTTATATACTTTTCAAGTCAATGTATTCATACATCAGATAGTAAATAGTGCTAGACATTCACAAATTACAAAGTGGAGAGGAAATTCACGGATATAATACTCGAAACTGTAGACATTTTCAAGACCCAAGAGTAATGACGAACTATGGAATTAGTTCAATATTCTATGAAGGAGTTTCAGAGTACTACAAAATACCATTAAATATAAAAAGAGAAAGTGACAAAAAATTCAAAACTTTGTTGAAATCTCACATTCCACTGAAGTTATGATTTGTACAGGTTTGAATCAATAATTATTGAGGTAGGGTTCTGAAATTTGCAAGAGGAAGGAAAATACCAAAGATAAAGTCAATTACGTAAGATACAGGGGTGTGCTTCCGTAAAAAGTGCGACAAAATTTAATTTTTCAGAACTGAAAATTTTCCAGAAAAAATATGAATAGTTAGTGAATTGGGCGTCCTGATTCCGAATCTGAAGTAATTTTTGACATATTTTGACTCCTGATATCATTCTCCGGAAATTGGGATGTTTCCATGGCTGTTGGCGAGCAGTATATTCACTGAAGATGACCTGGTCATATAGTGCATTTTTGGTATATCTCTCGCTCCAGCAAATTTCATGATCCTTACCCAACGAATACGTAAGATTCAGGGGTGTTTCCAATAGAAGTGGGCCACACTGTTTATAAAAATGTCTCTCTGGTTATGATTCAGTTTTTGATACCTGTAACGGAAGTGAAAAATTATATATACTATTGCAAAATATCATAATTTATCTTTATAAGTAATCAACGTTATCCAGCAAATAAGAAATGTATGAAAATCATTCATAATACTGGACGAACCAGGATCAAAAATGCATGAAAAATAATAATCATGATAATAATCCGTATTTATTTCCTCAAAAGAATATTACATAGTAACATGAGGCATAGGTGGTATGTGCATCAGGCGAAGTTTACCTAGGAAGCTAATCTTACACTTAACCTGTGCTCGACTTCTAATCCTAATACTAATCCTAAAAACCTAAATCTAGCTTGACATTACATTACATTTCCCCTTATTGTCTCACATGTAAAGTATGATTCAACAAGTTGTATGTGAAGCTTCTTTCAAACAGAGACGTGGTATGATGAGGCATTGTTAATTTTAGCTGATGTCTAACTTTCATATTATGGACATTTTGTCTGAAGATGAGTTTTTCTCCAAGATAAGCTGGAGTTGAATCCTTAAGCAACTCTTGTGAATGAAATTAAAGAAATAATATTTCGAGGAATTGGTCATATCTAACTACTGAAGTTCCCTGAGTTTATGGGACACATGATCATATTTTCTCAAATTGAATTTGAATTTTCTGGATTCTGTAAATGGTTCTTTGTTCTAAACAGGGAAAATAAACGATGTTACAATGCGAGACACTCACACAATTGTTTTCTCAGATTTAAACTCATGATGCTCTTGTTTGCAAAGAGCAATCTTAATCTTGCATATGAGCGCTGTATCAATGTCTTGACATGTTCGACAAATCTTAATTTGTCATCAATGATGAGTCCTAGATTTTTCGATGATGTCGAGTATTCTGAAGATGTATCCCCTATGTGCAATTGTATACTTTATTTGAGCTGTTCTCTCACTCCTTCAGAACAAAATAAGATAGCTACACTTTTGGTGGAATTCAATGTTAAATTATGCTGAACAGAATATTGACTGATGGCTATCAATTGCAACAGAAGGGTCAAAATGATGCACAAGTTGTGTGTCGTCTGCATAAGTTTGAACTCGAGTTTGAAGATTTGAAAATTTCATTTTATCATAAATGTGTGCTGTATATATCAAAAATAAAAGAGGGCCAAGAATGGACCCTTGACGAACACCGGAAATAATGTGAGCTGGACGAGACAAAACATCCTTTATTTTAAAAATCAATTTCCAGAAATCGAGATATATTGATGATGCCGGCAACGGCAAGGCCAGTTATGGTGTGGCTTTCTTCTCTACCATTCCATTTTTATTTTATTTTCAGTTTGCCCTGCACGTTTACTCTAGTCTCATTCAAGCAGGTGAAAAGTACGGTATCAAACATGCTGGTCACTATGCTACAAGAGCACTGAGAGTTGAAAAGTTCTATGCTTTCTGGGGGCAAGATCTTGACACCAATACCACTCCATTGGAATGCGGAAGAGTATGGCGTGTTAAATTCGATGTAAGTGAATGTTTATCTATATCGATTCAATTTTTTCTATTGTTCTGATACCCACAATCATTATTTACACTAACAAGATGAACCATTCTTATGAGAGCGATGGAGCCAGAAAATTTATTTAGTATGGGGCGGTATCTATGAGCGACAAGATGAACTAGTTTTTGTTGAGTAGCGAAGGGCAGAGATCGGTAATGCAGAATATAATCGAAGTTTATTTTCATGCAAGAAGGCATGTGGCATCATGGCTTGAAATATTTTTGTTTGAAAGCCTTCAGAATTTTTATGTATTTTACCAACGTGAGACGATACAAACATGAAGAAAACACTTGACGTGGATGTCTAACTTTATTTTTCACACTTAATCATTTATTATGATTTTCTACATCGGCGTCAAATCGTTCGCCGCCTTGGTCATTACTCGAGAGAGAGACCAAAAAAGGAAGGAGATTATTCATTACGCATGTGCGCCAATCGGGTCGATTCTGTTCGGATCTTGTTATAACATTGCTAAGATAATAATATTGTTATGATCATAACATATAACAATATTGCTATGAAGTTCTGTATTCTGTTTGCAGAGTAACTGCAAGACTGGTTATAAGTTCAAGTGATAGCAATATTGTTGAAAAATTGAGAATTTTTGAGCTGACAACACTGTTTTCAACTAATTTTGCGATTATTTCATGAAGAAGAAGAGTTCATGATTATCTAACCTCTCAAATTAGTCAGTCCTGCGACCTGCACTGACATTTTACAAAATTATATTGTTCGAATCGAGAGATTTTGTATTTGCTGAATCTGGTTGTCGTTGTGCAAGTGGTGCAAGTAATCAATCATGTCCCCGAAATGAGAAAACAACTAAAAGCCGGATGAAACAAATCGTGATTTTTTTCAATATTCTAGCAAAATAGCTTGATAAACTATCCATCAGGCAACTGAAATTTCTCTGATATGCCGAAATTGTAGTCTCATATTTCCTCTACAAATTGGAACTTCAAGAAGAGGTTTCCAAGTAGTTGGTCACAGTACACAGCAGTGCACCTATCCTTTATGTTTGTAATCACCAAGTTTTTCAATGATTCTTCTATGAATTGAAACTTTGAGGAAAGGTTTTCGAGTAGTCAGTGACACAACTGAACTCTCATATGTTTTTAATCCACTATTTTCTGAATTTTCATACGTTGGAAGAATTTGTAGTGCAAAAACAAAGAATCCACTACCTTGTTATCAGATAGCAAGCACAAAATTGATGTTGCCGAGATAGCAAGAAAGCTCACCAGATGTCATTGAAATTGACAGATCATATTGCCAAAAATCGATGATTAGAATTCCACTTTTTCGAATCTTGCTATGATAGCAATATCTTCTCTACAACCATATTGCTATTTGCAAACAGAATCGACCCGAATAGCATTTCATCCTGCTTCCGGTACCAACATTACAAGGTTACCAGTGAGATGTTTATAATTCCTCATGTGTGCCCACTCTTCAATTGTTTCGTCAGACAAGCTCTCGATATGAACAATTGAATGCGAGTTCAGAACGTGGGGTTCTCATATTTGATGATAGATGGCGTGAACGATGGAATTTCATGAAAAAGTTCAAATTGCGTTTCGAATCTTATTATGAAGTTGAACTAGACTTTCAAAGATGTGTTTTCCTTCTTTTCGGACCTGAAGAGTCCCGTTGATGATGCACGCATTCAATAATAGCTGATAAGAAGTAGAGTCCCTTGATGGAAATTGACGTTAAAGTCATCTTAACAGGGTACGGAAAGATCCTCGTCTCCTCTCACTCCAAAGTGTTTGTGAAACAGTTGTATAGTTCCATCCTTATTCAATTCTGGGGATAAACACTAGATTTTTGACATTTGTTGTTTTTTAGGTTATATTGAGGTCATTGGCGTATCATACGTAATTTCCATATGGAATTCCGTATTCAACTATACCAAGATATAGTTGAACAATCCTCTAGTTTTAGAGTTTACTACTCCAGCATAATCTTTGCTAGGTAGGGAACATATAATTTGTACTAAAAGCTTAATATATTTCACCAAAAGAGACTGTTCTTAGACTGTATACGGGTTGACTGAATTGACTGAATGCATTCTGATTTCAAGCTGAGCAGTAGTTTAACTATGAGCTGAATGAGCTGAGCCTTATGATTGAGAAATGTGTGTTCGGGACAATGAACTCAATATAAACAACGGACGAATGAATATTAGATAAAACATATACAGAGCGACCTAGAAGACCAGAGGCCGATCAAATATCTTGAACCAAATGAAATATGGAAAAACATATACAGGGTGACCTAAAGAATCAGATCCAGATCAAAATCTTATTGATGGAAATTGAAAAAATATACGGTGTGTTCGATACGAATGGATATCAGGAAAAACATATACAGAGCGACCTACAAAACCAGAGGCAGATAAAATATCTTGAACCAAATGGAATATTATTATTTATCACAGGGTGACCTGAAGAATCAGAGCCAGATCAAAATCTTATTGATGGAAATTGAAAATATACACAGTGTGTTTGAGACTAATGGATATTAGGAAAAAACATATACAGAGAGACCTACAAAACCAACCCAGAGCGCAATATTGCAGTCCAACATTGAAATCACTTTCCCAAATTTATTTGCATAATGCAGGCTCTTGTTTCCAGAAAGTTGGTAGGTTAATTGATTTAATTGATTCTTGCTCTTTCTTGGAATGTCCAGTTGATGTGTCTTCTGAGGAGATGATGTCATGGGGCATGATATTGTTTGAAAATGTTGAACTTTCACGATGTTTTTCCAAGATATCGAGTCTTGCTTCCAAGGAATCATATTTTTTATTATTTTCATCAGATTTGACGATCAGAATTTCGCACAATTCTTCAAGTCTATCTCTTCTTCGTAAAAATAGTATTCGAAACATCATTTGGTATGATTCTTGATGAAATCTCTGAAAGAATGCTCCTGTAGTCGGCTTCGTGGAATTGGTCCTTATAAGTTGTTTGAATGTACTCTGTCAGCATTTCCTTCATATCCGAAAATTCCATCGAATTTTATGATCTCGCCTTCGCTCAACTGCTCCATAATATCACGTCGGGGTCACCAAATTCTGGATACAATTGATACATATTATAAAACTGAGTTGTAATTATATTATAAAAATGTTACATCAATGTCAGACTATCAAATCATAATCACGATCATAATATACCAAGTATATAACATAACTAGTCACCATAAGTATACTCTGGTCAGTTCACTTAGTGAATCTTCTGTTCGGTTCGTATGGACTGGATGGTTTTCTCCGATTGAGTGGCAAGTATCAAATACTGCTTCTCTGATCTGCAACAGAATATCACATATCAGTCGAATTACATTCATATCAAAAGATAAATTACATGGATGTTGAATCTGAGACATACCTGAATAATGTATTCAACGTCCGTAACTGGATTGCTACATATATCCGCTTTCTTTCCGAATAGTGTTTTTTCCAGTAGGCATCTGCCACATTTTCAATTACGTACGTGGGTTATATTAAGGACCTTGAAGGTCAAACGATGTGCTGCTCGGATCTAAAACTAAGGATCAATTTCAAATTTGAACCGTGAGACCTACATAGAATATTGGATATTGTTTTCAACATTCATAACTGGAACGCGATATATTTTTGTAATTTTTCAATGCATCAACTATCTCAATGAAGACGAGACAGGCAGATAAACAACAATTTTCTCTGCAATGAAGAACACTGTATATACCTAACCCACCATGCGTCTACCTCCTTTGCAGAGAGGGTTTATAAACGCCGAGTTGATACTCTCCCCTCGTAAGGGTACCTGTCGTGTTTCCATAGAGACATAAAGGTGAATATCTGTCTCATCTGTTTTCTTGAGAACCTGGAAAGGATATCAATATATCGCCTTCCGTACGAATATAATGATCTGAATTCTGTAATGTATACTCTGGTCAGTTCTCTTTGCGGATCTGCTGTTTGGTCCGTATTAACTGGATGGTTTTCTCCGATTGAGTGGCAAGTATCAAACACTGCTTCTTGGATCTGTAACTAAACATCACATTCAAATCGAAGTACATTTGAATCAGAAAATATCATTCGAGGAAATACATAGATGTTGAATCTGAGACATACCTGAATAATATTTTCAACGTCCGTAACTAGATTGCCACATATCCGCTTTCTTTCCGTATAGTGGTTTTTCCAGTAGGCATCTTCCACATGTTCAATTATGGAAACATGGATGTTAAATCTGAAACATACCTGAATAATATTTCCAACATTCGTAACTGGAACGCGATATATTTTTGTAGTTCATCAATTCATCAACTATTTCAATGAAGACGAGGCAGGTAGATAAACAACACTTTTCTCTGCAATGATACTGCAATACTGTGAAAATAATCTTTCATTTCCACTCATGAAGCAACGTTGTCAAGTCACAAATTATAATCAATTTATCATAAAGATGAGATTCCTGTCGTTGGATAAAACACGAGATAAAACATAATAAGAGTAAGCCATGATATTATAGATCATTATTGACTTTTTCGAGCATCCAGCATGTCTGTATATCTCTTGTACCCTATAACAAAATATTATGTTGATGTTGAAAACTTGGCAACAATGTGCTGTCACGTTTACCCTCAAATATCCTCTAGTGTGAATTAATATAAAAATATTAATATTAACACAAATATATTATTAGCCACAACAGATGAGGGAATATTTCGAGACAATTAATTTATATGTGTAATTAGGAATATAACCAATACAAAATTGAGAATTCATGAATTATTGAATAACTGATATTTCCTAAGTTCCAATCGTATTTCAACATATGGCAACTGTCCTATGGTTTGTCCCTACTTACCAGCAACATTTACCACTTCATCATTTTCAAATCGAAATATTCCGAAAACGGAACACAGTATCGAGTTTTACCAAGAGTACCTTTTGGATGTGAAATTGAATGATG